GTATTGTATATTTTTCGAGCTCAAGGCCACATGAAAATCGAAACAAAATTTTTGATTTTACATTTGTTTTTTATTTGCCGATATTTCGACTTCAGTCTGAAGTCATCCTCAGGACTGAAAAATACATTATTATAATTACACACATTAATACATATGTACGTATAAACCTAAACAAGTACAACTTACACATTTGACAATGTTTGATCGACTGAAACAGATGAGCGAAAAAAAACAATAATTAAACAAGCAAATTTGGAGACAGTAGAAAACATCAACATGAGAATGTAAACAATTCAAAATACAGTAATTGTAAACAAAAATCCACGAACAACAATACATAGGAAAACGAACAGTAAGACATAAATATGTATGCATATCACTGCAGCTCTCTTTTGTTGTTGTCCGAAACATATAAGGTACGGAATGACAGTGGACTGCGAACGAACACATGACACCTATACTATTGTTGTTGTCTTAGAATTAAGTTGCGATAAACATGCGCGCAATTGTCGGTGTCCGATTTGAAGTTCATCCTTTTATTGTTAGGGGTGTTCATAATATGTAGCATTTCCAAAGTATAGCGTTTATGGTAGTGTTTTTCCTTTTCTAAAATTGCTACGTTGTCAAAGTTTGGATAATGTCCCGTATTCTTACAATGATATGACAAGGCCGTCTTGTTGTCCGAGGAGTTGTTCCTTAATTTAATATTTGACTTATGAGCGGAAATCCTTGTCTTTAACTTTGATTTAGTTGTCCCCACATATACCTTATTACATACGTGGGACCCGTCGCCATTGCATGGAATTTTATATACTACGTTGGATTTCTCAAATTTCGGAATCTTGTCCTTTGTATTGCTGTAGATTTGTCGTAGTGTGTTATTATATGTAAACGCAATTGTATAATTATCTTTATCATATATACTCGAATTTTTAACCCTTTCGGATATCCCTGGAACATATGTCGATGATCTGTAAATTTTATTTTCCCTGTCTCTATTTGTCCCCTGTTTAGTGGTACCAACGTAGTAATTACGAATCAATTTGTTTATCAACGACAAGGGGAAATCATTATACTCCAGAATTCTTTTTATAACAGCAATATTTTTTGTATGATAAATTTTGTCGCTTATAGAGAGGACCCTTCTAATGAAGTTGTTGGCAGTATTTAGAATTATCCTTTTCTCATGTTTGGAGTGAAAGTTAATTAGTCTCCCAGACGCAGTCGGCTTTTTGTACCAGTCAATTGTTAATAAATTATTTCTTCTTATTATTAGAGTGTCCAAATAAGATAACTGTCCATTATTTTCTTTTTCTATTGTAAATTTAATCGACTTATTGTAGTTGTTGAGTGTGTGTAGCATTATGTCCATATCTTGGGTTTTAATAATAGCAAATAGATCATCCACGTATTTGGTCAGTAAACGCGGTTTGTTGGTGGAGTCCCTTTCAAATTTTGCCAGTAATTCCTCCATGACTATGTCCGCTATTATAGGTGAGGCTGGAGAACCCATTGGCATTCCTGATCGTTGCTCGTAGATTTTATCATTGTACTTAAAATAACGGTTCTCCTTAACGCAGAATTTTAGTATTGTCAAGAATAGTTCTTTCGTCAAAAAGGTTAGGTTTTTAATTTCGTCCCATCTTGAGGCTATGATTTCGATGGCCAAATCTACGGGTATGCTGGGAAATAAGGACACAACATCGAATGACACTAAAATCTCATCATCATATACATAAGAGCCTTTAATCTTGTTTTTGAACTCCATTGCATCTTTAACATTATATTTGGAGGACTTTGTTAAATTTTTCAGAATGTTAGTGAGATATTTACATAAATTATACGACGGAGAATTGACGGACGAACAAATAGGCCTGAGTGGAGTGCCATCTTTATGGATTTTCGGCAATCCATAAATTCTCGGTGGGTTAGCCGTTTTACACATAAGGGAATTCTTTTCATTCAAATCAATGATTTTGTTATTGTACATTCTTTCCACTATGTCATTATTCTTGTCCTGTAATTTATTCGTCGGGTCGCGTTTTAAAACTCTGTAAGTGGCTATGTCATTCACCAATACTTGCATTTTTGCATCATATTCAGATTTGTTCATTACTACCGTTACATTTCCTTTATCAGCATTTAGGACTAAGAGTTGTTTATTATTATTCAGGAATTTCTTTGTGGAACCTAGGGTGTCACTTATAAATCTGTCTCTCATAGAAGTCGTCGTTTTGTTAAGGTGGTCGCGTATTAGCGTCGTCAAGTTATTTCTTTCAATCTCTTGTTTTTCTTTGTCCGTAATTGTTTGTATACAGTTTTCTCCGTCTGCTATAAATTGAAATAGTGGAAAGTTTTTATTTTCTGTTGGTAAGGCATATTTTGGACCAAGAGATAAAAGCCACTGGATATCTATTGGTATATTTATGGTTGTCTTATTACAAAACCATTCTGGTATCACCCTAATGTTTAGTAACTGTTTTTGTTTCTGCTTTAGTTTTTCATATTTTTTGGTTTGTGTCTTCTTAATTGTTGTTGTGAGTTTATTTGTTAATAATTTCTCACTTTCGAAAAATACGGTGGAATCATTTATGTTGAGTTGTTGTGTTATTAGCGTTTCTAGCCTATTTACCTCTTTTGCTATTTGTCGACGGAGTGAATGCTTTATTCTGATGATAAGGTTTACCAGTTTTAGTTGCACTTTATTGATGTAAGCCGTCACTGCGTTTGAGAGTTGTGTTGGTATTCGGTTGTTGCTGGTGTTGTTGTTGATTGTGTAGAGGATATTTTTGGTGGCGTTGCTGATGAAATTTGGTGTTAAGCCACTTCTTCTGCACGTCTCCAGAAATTTCGTGGATTCCGCCAGTCTGGTGATTTGTTGTAGGCCGTTTTGGTAGCGTTTGATGTATTTTCTGGTCCGGATATCATAGTTGTCTTTAATGTTTGTGTAGACACTAGATGTGTTTTTGTTTTTACGGTGTGCTCCCCGTTTTAACATTTTATCTTTTTATTTATTGGCCGTTCGTTTTACACAGTATTGTATAT